AGGCTGGAATGCAGTGGTGTGATCTTGGCTCACTGCAACCTCTGCCTCCTGGGTTCAAGCAGTTCTTTGCCTCAGCCTCCCAAGTAGCTAGGATTACAGGCACCCGCCACCATGCCTGGCTAATTTTTGTATTTTTAGTACAGACCATCTTTAGTTTCACCATTTTGGCCAAGCTGGTCTTGAACTCTTAACGTCGTGATCCACTGGCCTCAGCCTCTGAAAGTGCTGGGATTATAAGCATGAACCACCACACCTAGCCGAAAAGCATTCTTATGTTCATGTGTAACAAGTAAAACATAGATGAAAGATCTCATATATATTTATGAAAAGAGCAGGAATTTAACCTTACTAGCTTCTAGAGAAAGGGGACTGAGAGGCAATTATTAATGTAAGAAATGTCTTTTGACCCAAAAAGTGATTTGAGTGTTTTTGTTTGTGCATTTTTATTTTTCCTGACTTGTATTTTTAAAATTCAAATGTTTATAATTGTATTAGTTTATGTTTACACTGCTTTTAAAAGCAGTTTATTCAGATATTTTGTTACAATCACATTAAGGCTTTGTATAAACATACTAAGTAAATGTATTTTAAGAGAAGCATAAAATGCTTCCTAAAATTTAAAGTGTAGACTATTAAATGAAAAATCTGAATAGAATATTGTCAAGTAGGATACTGACCAAACCGTATTTTTAATAGCCCATTTAATTGTGACCATTTTCTTCTAAATAGCACCCAGTATATCCTCGAAACCTTTAGAGGAATTACTGTCTTTTTATTTTAGGAGGTGAAACCATAAAAAGCATAAGCCAACAGTCTGGTGCAAGAATAGAACTTCAGAGAAATCCTCCACCAAATGCAGATCCTAACATGAAGTTATTTACAATTCGTGGCACTCCACAACAGATAGACTATGCTCGGCAACTCATAGAAGAAAAGATTGGTGTGAGTGTGCTTTAAACTTTTTTTTTTTTTTTTTTTTTTTTTTAAACACTTTTCAACCTTTATTGAGAGAGTATAGTCATCATGCCAAAATTTATCCATCAACATACACCTTATTTCCCATCTAAAGTTAATGAGAATGTATTTTATTTTAAATGGGACATAAGGCAACATGCCAAGAATTAAAGTACAGCTATAAAGTTTTAGTTTCACACTCTGAATATCAACAAAGCAGTAATTCCTAAGATCATGAAAACATTATAAAGTAACTATACAGAAAACAATGAACATTTAGGTCATTCATGCTTTCTTAATGTCATATAGTGAAAATAGATATACCTATAATTTCAGTCTACAGAAAGCATACTTCATAAGGTCATTATTCATTTAAATTAGTACAAATGTTTACGAAGAACATTTTACTTAAATTTCACGGTTGCTTATAAAATGGTACTTGCAAGATTGACCTACATAAAGAAATAAGAGTCTCATCAAAAGAGATGGCAAATTATAAATATAAAATATATCACAGTGTTTAAATCCTCATAGTGCAAATCAATAAAGATAACAATCTTTGGAAAGTATTCAGCTTTACAAATTTACTGTAAATATATATATATATAAATTCAATAAGAAACACATTTAAACCTTGCACTGTCACAGAATTCTTTTGTGGAAACAAATGATGTACTTTTTGAATATGCATACATCAAAATCAAAAAGTTAACTTTTACTTTTTCCTTTATTGGCAACTTTTGATGCGATTTTCGGTTTTGGTTCCCAGAGAGCATTTTTTACAAACCTTAAAGCTGCGCCATTGTCCAGCTTGCCAGCCTTTTTCGTGTCTGTTATTTCCTTGACTCTGTTCATATATACTCTGATTCTTTCCAATTCCTGCTTTACTGGATGTTCCTTGAGTTGCCAAATAAACCCAAAATATTGAATTTAATGTGTATGCAGAAACCAAATCCACTTTTGATTGTTCAGGTGGGTCCAACTTCTGCAACAACTCATTTCTAGAAACAGACATCATGGTGTTCAGCATCTCATCCACAGCACCAATGGAATTCTCAAAGGCTGACAAATACTCGTGAATTTCTACTGGATAGTCTTCATTAATTTCTTCATCTGCCATTATGGCTGACTCACGGACTTCGACTCCAGTCTCCAGGCTAAACTTTTAATTTATAGCATAGACACATAGACTGTAGTTAAATAAGATGTTTATTCAAATACATCAAAGGAAAACGTATAAATATTAGTCTGCATTTGTAGATTTTTTGATACATACAACATGTAGATTTTTTAGCAATGAAAGTCACCTTATTAAATATGCAGTTACAGGTTTTGAGAACAACCTTACATTTGGGTGTTGGTAGATAAGAGAGGGTAGTGTTACCTGCAGGAATGATGATATTGTTGGTGTAGGATTGTGAAACATACTTGAAGGAAATAGTTAATGGAATTCACTATTTATTAAGGTTTTACTATACTGAACCCCAGTGAAGCAAACAAGATAAATCAGATGCATCTCCCACTCTGCAGTAGAAATTCACAAATCCTAGCTTTTGGACTGGCTCATAAATTTTCTGTGGTTTAAAATGTAGACAATTGGGGGCTTCTTACTCTTACACATAATTTATAGAGACAGACCTGACAAAATGTCTGGGATAGGGCCCAGCATCTAATTTTACATAGATGTTTGGGTGATTCTGATGCACAGCCAAATGTGGAAATTTTTTCTCTAAAAGTTTTCTGTTAGAACAAAAAAGTATGAAAAGCTTTGACTGCTTTTTTGTAAATGAAGCAGATGGTATCTTACTGGGATTTTTAACACAAAGTGTACAGGGAGCGTCTTAAATTATTAATAATCAGAATTTCCTAGGAAAATTCTTTTTGATATTTGCCATGTTGTAAATGGGGTGCAAAACAAGTTTGATACTGTTTCTGTCTACTTGGGAAGACAAAAATAGATGTACAAAAGACTTGTAAGGAACATCTTACAAAATATACACAAAAGTTGTAAGTTCTTTTGTATGGACAGTTTTTTTTTTTTGTTTTTGTTTTTGTTTTTGTTTTT